TCGACGTATGCCATCGATAATACGAACTTTCCTCGTATTGCGGCGTTGCCGAAAAAATCAACGGCCTAATAATCAAAACTTCTCGCTGGATAATACAGGAGAATAACTTCGAATAACAAGGCGCCAATCGTTACTCGACAAAGAAAACCAAATCTCGCGTTCAGAGGTCGAGCTTACGCATCGTCTTACGCGCACAGAAGGCGTCGTGCGTCGATAATCCGTCGTTTACGATTTCGTTTCTCCTTCGCACGTATACGTCTGCAAAGTTCAACAAGATAAACGGTTTAACCGTTCACTTATGCATGCACTCACAGACATATACACCTCGTATTGGGCAGGGGGAGGTTGAATTTTCCTCTCTACCGTTCGATCTACCGGCGCCGCGCCGCGCGCAGATGAAAAGGGAAAAAGAGGTGCAGCGAGCGAACGCGGAGACTGCTGCGTGCAGCGGCGTGTGCATGAACCGATTCTTATATACCAACGTTCCGCAAACGGTGTGGTGTACGTACGTGTACGTAATTAGACGTATCGCTCGCGTGCATTCGACTTTCAAGTACTTGCATACACCCCGACGCTTAAATTGGTAGATGAATTTCCAGTCCAACACCTCGATTGTAACGCTCGCGCGCCTCAGCCATGACGTTTCTCTCTCTCGCTCTCTCTCTCTCTCTCTCTCTCTCTCTCTCTCTCTCTCTCTCTCTCTCTCTCTCTCTCTCTCTCTTCGTACTCACACATATTACAAGTAGGCTGAAGAGCGCTAAAGGGCTCCGAGAGCTGTGTTCGACTTCACACCTCGCACACAGGCGTGTTATATATATAAGCATACGCATTTTTACCGACGACTCCCAAGTATACGTGTAGGCATGCGCGTTGGGGTTTTAGCCAAGCTTGTTGACAAAGTTACACGTGCATCCGCATATACACTGCCGACGTATAGGACCATCCATGCTGTGCAATATTTTTCGATAAATTTGATCGATAAGTTTTTGAATATAATTATAAAAATAAATTCAATTGGCTTTTTGTGAAAAGAAAATATCAAAGTAAGCGTTATTTTTTCTAGATATTGGCCAGATTAACAAACGGAAATCAAGGTGAAGGGCAAAAGGTAAATGCGACAATAAGAGGATTGAAGAGATGCACCTATACATACGTATATATATGAAGCAACGAAGGTGCAAGAGAGATTCGCTCTCTCTCTCTCTCTCTCCGTCTCTCTTCTCTCCCACATGCTGAGCGTGTCTGCGTTCCTCCGCCTGTCGATTGCACCTATTGAATAGGGCCACCTCTAGGTTCAGCTTCTAAGTGGCTGCTCATTGAGGCGATCTTAGGGTGCTTCTCGACACCTTGCAAGAGCGCCTTAATGCCATGGATTTCACGCCTATTACAATGGCGTAGAACCAATGTATGAAATTCTCTATATAGCTGTCGATAGATTTCAGTTCATCTTCAATGCATCTCTCTGACAAGGCTTTCTTGGATGACAGACTGACAATGATTTTATGCTCTCTTAGCCTACGAGTATCAAATCGATAAGAACTTTGCGATTGCGTCTTTCCGATAAGATTTCCTCTATATTTTACAGAAAGAAAATATACTTTCTATATGTTTTACGTTTAGTTGTTTGCATTTGAATTACGTCGTATTACTAGATGAATTGGCTGGAAGTGAACACAGCAATGGATTACCAGTCTATTACATCGCAATAAAAATAATGCTAGTCTTTTTATTGCATCTTTCTTATATCAGTTAAAGAACATACTTTACATTAACAGATTTCGAAGACTCGTGCTTCAAATTATTTTGGAAAAATTCAAAAGGCCAAATGGCTAAGCGGGATTAGAACCTTAAACAGCTGACTTGGGCGAATGCTTATTGCTGCTAAAGTATTAAGAAAGAACTACTCGAACACTTAAGTCGTCATTTCTTTCAATTCGTCCATTCTATCGATCGAATGGAAGCACTTAATACTTACAACACGATTGAGAAAGAAACTTGCTTGTCTATGAAAGAATGAAGATAGAGAGAGATTAAAGCGAGACAGGGAGAAGAAAAAGGAGGCAGCTCATTGAGGGATTTAGTAACCGCAAATCCGGGTATAATACTAATAGCCACATAATAGGGTCAATGGGCTTTCGCCAGCCTGCGACAATGAAGTCCTGTCAAAATAGCGCGCGCTCGAGCGAAGTAACGCGAGAAATCGAGGAAGTGGGTTTTTCTCAATAGAGTATACGGAGGGGACCTCTCGCGCGACCGTCAAAGCGCTCCGCCCTTTTCCAACCCAAACGGCTTGCTTTTACGATCAGTTTTCAGAAAAATGCGATTTTTTTCTATTTCAATTATATGCGTCATGCTGGTCGGCGCGTGTGCACAATGACAATTGATTGCTGGCCTCAAGGTATCGATTAAGCACTGTTACAATCGAATAAAGAATTTATTCTATGGAATACCACCGAAGTTGATGACGAAATTGTATCCGTGTAAAATATATAATGTTTCAATCGTCTACCGATTGAAAATCCAGTGGAAAAACGATTTACAACATTATTAGAAATGCAATATTTGTGTCTCAAAACAAGCCACTCTTTACAATTAGAAATATCTTGGTAAATTCGTGAGATAGGAAAATGTTATTTTGTTCATATTGGATGAGCAAGCATTGTCTTTCTAATAAATATTTTCTTATCTCACAAATTTATCGAGATATTTCAGACTAAAAAAAGCTGTTAAATTAAATATTAAATTACAAAGCTGTTAGATTAAATAGCTAATTATAAAATGACATATTTCGAAGTTTTGTACGACTTTTTTTACGACCGAGGCAGCAGTCAAACGTGGGCAAGAAAATTTAAAATTTACAAGGTTAAATTATTGTTAAAACAAAATAGAGAGACGAATCAATTGCATTTGATATGCATATAGTTTGAAAGCTTTTGAAGAGCTTTAAAACACACTCCCGCTTATCTCAGTTTATTCATTTTTCACTTGTATATAAAACTTTTAAATTTAAAAAATATTCATTTTAGGTGGGCAAAAGCAATAACCGGCACTGTACGATCATTTTATTTGTTTGAGGAAACATCATCCAATCAGAATCAAGAGATCTCATGATTTAACTTTATTATCTTACAGCAATAGCAATGCATACATTCTCATAGATTTAGACTTGAATATCATAACCATAGAGATTAATCGAAAAGAATAAAAAGAAATAGTTCAATAAATTCCTGTAATATACATTACATACATAAGAATAGCATTCAACTCGATATCATAGACAATTAAAATTCCTGAAGTTGGTGGTGTTATAAGCACAGTGAAACGGAATATTGGAAAGTATGAAAGAAAAAGAGATTTAAGGGCGTTTTGTGGAGCGAGTTCAAAGAATGAATGAAAGAGGCCGGATCTGCTACGGCGACACGCGCAATTCGTATATCCCAAATGAACAATTTCGTGCGCGCTTTCTATCTACAGTGTTGGCTGAAAATGAGACCTAATGGAAAAGTCTCACTCGGTGGGAGACTATTCAGGCTAATATATCGAATTACACCAAATAGCGTCAGAAACCTATTGTACGGAAAATCGTTGAATAGAGCAAATATGTTACCCGTAATTGTCAGCGAGATCCAAAAAATTGAGTTGAAAATATTTATTTTGTTTGCCGAAACGTAAAAATTATTGGTATAATTTTATTTTAAAATCAGTAAAAATTTAATTAACAGTCAATCTTGCCACGTGTTACCATGAGTGAAGATTGACATGTTTTTTTAATTAAATTTTTAATTTAATCACATGTACAAAAAAAGAACATACCCCAGTGATTTAAGTGAATATTTGCGTGTACGAGTGTTCACGTGCGCACCTAGAGCTCTGAAAGCGCCATTGAAATTAACTCTATGAATATTCACGTGGAGAGAAAAATTTTTTAAAAAGAAAATTGCCAACTTGCGAGGTTAAATAAAAGTTGCACCGTATGAGCGTGAAAAGACTCCCATTAAAAACGCTTGAAGATGCGCAAAAGCAGCTTCATCTTTCGTCTTGGTTTTCCTCGCCCTCTTTATCACTGCTCGCCTTGGTATTTGCGCAGTTGCGCATTTCTGAGTGCCTGTACTGAGGCCTTGGTGCAAAAGCTGAAATAAGTCTGCGTCGTATACTCCTTAGTAAATCAATTTTAATCTCACTCTTTAAAGCCTTCTGCTCTTCAACCCAGTGAATTTATGAATCCGTGTTGACTCATTTACAGAAATCTTATAGTTGTAGTTCATATTAAAAAGAGATTATAATCAACTATTTCATCGGTAATTGTGATATTTGAAAACTCATAAGTATTTTTAGGTAGATATGGTAAAATCATAAACATTAAATTAAATAAACAGGATAACAGCGATCGATCTATAACTTTAATATTTTATTATTACATATTAGTTTTTTCAATAATATTTACGATTCACTCATCAGTAATTGAGGAATACAAATTTTCTGTTCCGGAATAAAATTTCAGCTATAATCTACACATTTTCGTTACTTCGTCTTCATGTGCTATTTTAAATAGTACAATTAGTTACTAATGCTTCATTCATTACCACATAACGAGTTCGTTGCCGCCAAGTTATTAGGAAACAAGTGGAGAAAAGTACGAGCAGTACGCGCATATAACTGGAAAAAGTTTAAAATTTAAGTGTACAACTCAATTTGCAACTCAATTTTTCGCGAAGTCCTTATAAGTGAGAGGAAAACTATGCGCTCACGTCGATTTACAACGAGTGCTTCGTTTGTCAACTGTAAGAGTTTATTCGTTAATTTGAAGCTTCGTTAAATTTTATTTTGGAACTTTTTTTTATTTTTAAAGTTGGAAAAGTTACGTAAAAGGTGATGGGCATTTTTTTCTTATAAACCATTGAACTATAATCGAAATTTTAATTGACAACTGCTTTTAAACCTTATGTTATAAATTTCTGAACAGTTTAGTTGGAAAATAAGTATTTATTTTTATTTTTCAGGCTATTCGCAATCAAAAAACGCATTTTCAAGTTCAAGTCCAGGTAAGAAAATAGCATGTAATAGTGTTAATTAAAATCTTCTGTCTTTCCGTTCTTCGGTTTTGTTATATTTACGAATATTATTTTTCGAAAGAATTCATAAATTTAAAGACGCTTTGTGCGCCCACATACTTTAGTTGAATGTAAAATTTCCGATTTCGTAAATAAATAGATTATTGATTCAATTGAAAAGAATCTAAAATTGAAAATCTACAAAAAAATATATTAAGCTCCGTCAATCTTCCCCAAATGTAAATTTAATACCCCGAGTACTTTTTCGAATGACTTATATACCGCAAACAGTTCGCAACTGAAAAAAAACTATTTTTCGGTGGATCAACTATATTGTAAGAAGCTATAAAGTTATGCGCCTGTACGACGACGCCGAACCCCCTCTAACTGGTGGGACGACTGTAGATGGGCTGACGTCACTCGAGCGCTTGGCTCCTCATTTCGTATTCATGCGCACAGAGCCGCGGACGCTTACGATTTTTCCGAGCCATTAAGTCAGTACCCTAGCCAAAAAGCGATGTTGCTCCAAACGCGAAACGACAGGTTGGAAGGAACCGCCGTGCGTTGATGCTCTCGCATTTTCTTTGGTGCAAGGGTGTGTCGCGCCGTACGTTCGTGCGAACAAATATCCCAGTGAAAAGTACAGCTCGTTAGAGTACTTGTTATACTCCTTCGACAAAGTTGAACGGTTACAGTGCTTATTTGTGATCTCCATAAACGCCTAAGTGATAAAAAATGCTGATGAGCCAAGCAGAGCATCCAATGCCTGGGTATTAAACGGGAATTTATTATACTACCCCGATGGACTCTTATTGCTAATGAGTCACTTTCTTTGAAGTAAACGCATACAAACTTTATCAACTCTTGCGTAATTCTCTTTTAAATTTTTATTGCATTTCATGCGCCAATAAATAAAATTCGGTTATATAAGTGGTACGTAAAACATCATTAAAACTTTAATAATATACTCGAAAAGTTTTCTCATATATTTTTTAATGCACGAATAAATCATAATATTATTTTTTTGGAAAAACGCTCTGATTAATGTAACGTCACAGTGCTCATTATTCGGGTTAGTAATCAAAGTCACAAATAAAACTAAAATGAGCTCTCTGATCCTATAAACAAGCGTAAAAAGATCCTTTGAAATCTTTGGCAAAATACGAAATTGCAAGCGCGCACTTTACAACCACTTTGTTGTGAATTCGAAGCAAAGGGATAAAGACGGCTTTAACTTTGACATATTACTGCCAAAGAAATCAAAGGCAAAACATGTATTACTGCATAATTCTTGGTAAAGACAAGAAACCGCGTGGATGAAAGGCGAAAATAAAACATTTCTTTTTGGTGCTTCTTTTTTTTAAACGAAATCAACTCAACGACATTTCTAGTAATTTATTTGTAAATAACTGATGTCTAAATAGGATATTTAAGAATTAAGTCATGTGTAATGATCATTAAAGTATACGGAGCTATCAATAACTTTTTCGTAAAAATATCGGGTTCAAAATTAAATAAATTTTACTGGACTTGATAATTTTCAGTTGAGTTTGGAAGTAAGAAGGCACAGCGCGTTAACGTGCATGCATCAACCTACCTTATGAAAACTAGCACTTTTGTGCAAAAAGTGTATTGTAAAAGTGCTAGTTTTCGTATTTCCAGTCGTTATAAATAATTAACTTAATTGAGTCAAGTTCACAAGTGGACGTAATAACGAGTTAACGTAACAGTTCGCAAAAGGTGTAGCAAAAATTGTATTTGAAAGCCACACTAGTATTAATTAAGAACCAACGCGACGCGTATATATTTCACTTCTTAATTAGACGCACGCAGCGCTGCCATCTATATGTCACGAAGCGTGGATGTTCTCTACTGTTGCCCAACAGTCGCACTAAAGGCTTTGGTTTAGTATGGAAAGCTATTTTCATTCTAATTTTTCTCTTAAAATTGATAAACTTATTTCGAAAACAATCACATTACAACAGTATATTATATATTGAATATATATTGTGTTCTTTTTGTTATTAATTAATTTTTGAGGCGGTCAATAAATTAGTTAACGAAACGTCATATACAAAAATGGCAGGTGAAAAGGAAACTGCATTATATTTTAATCACTAGTTAATTAAAAAATATATTAAACTTGTGATTTTCTGATTTATGGCTTGATCTTTACACATTAGACAAAAATTAGACTAGTTAACGTCAAAATTAAGATCATAGAGGCGTATGATTAGGAACAAGCATAAATCGATATCGAATAATCTTGACACTTTCCGCATCGACTGAAGTGCGATGCAGCGCAAATGAATTTGACACACCAATAGCGTAGTTTTATGCCTTGATATTATTCTGAAAAGATGAATAATTCATTGTACATCAACAAATATTATCAAAACCAATTTTAAAAATATGCCAAGCATATTTATAACTCATAGCATAATCACTCTCAAGCGAACAGCACTCCTATTGTTACTAATTGACGTGGTTTAAAGTAAAAAAATTTCAAAAGCAGAATGATGATTTGTCTAAATTTAATAAAAAAAAATTACAAATATTCAACAATTAATCATTACAACGAGTTATTCATATACATCCTTCGCAATTAAATGTTATTAAAAAATAATGCTTAAATGAAAAAAAAAACGTAGCTGCGACATGCATTAATATCACAACTGTCATTGCGACAGACAAGTTTCACATCGAATGCGCCGTCAATCATCCAGCCCAACCCAACCCAACCCCGGGCGTAAAGTAAAATGAGAATAATAAATCGATGAACTCGCGTGACGCAACGGCTATCGGTCAACTCAGATATGTTCAGCGAGCTCGCGGCCGCGAACGCTCGGCAAAGAAAGGAATCAAAAACCGAGGCACTCTCGAATTTGCTCGCATGGCCTAGCGGGCATAATAAATTACCCGGTGCGCGTTAAAAAGCACAACACACACGCCCAGCGCCGGCGAACCGACCAATCCGCTGTGAGTAGCCTCGCCCCGCACTACAGGATCTCAGGTGACTGACTCTGTTTTTATTTACTTCCCCTCTCTCCCCTGTCTGCTTCCTTCCCCTCCGTTGGTAGCCCACCTATTTCTCACCCTGTCCGTTTGTCGTCTTCTCTCGGTTCTTTCTTTTCCTATCCTCGTTTTCATCTTATTCTGCTTCGTTTCTTTTTTTTGACTTCATTACACTGTTTCTTTGCACCGTTTGTCTTCGCGTACACCTATATCTTATCCCTTATCTGTCCAGACGAAAATTATATAAACACTTGATTAGTACTTATTCATCTGTTGACTTTCATCGGCGCACAAGAAATTTGTCTTCACTGTCTGTTAGCGGTGAAACTGTATTATGATTGCAATTTCCAATCAATCATAACATCATTTTATAATCAGTGTTAATTAACAACCATTTTAAAGGAAGATAAATCCTCAGAGAACATTTATTGCCATACAGAATATCTAGCATTTCCATGGGATCTGGTGGGTTTCACATTAAACGCTTTCATTTCTCAATATAAACGACACTAAATCCTTCTAAAGTTACAGTAGGATGAGGAAGAAAAACTAGAGGTGTCGAGTGGGTTGACGGAAAAAATTGTACTCCGAAAATATTTTGACAACCGTGGGCGTGTCGGGTGTGGCAGCGATAAAAATTTTGGGTTTCCAATTGCTACAATAGTTTTACGTCTCGCAAGCCTTTCTACTCCGAATAAAGGTCCTTTCAATATCTCGTCGCATTACTCGGTTTAACGACACTAGAAATAATTCGATGTGATCAACTACGCTTTTCTTTCAATTTAAATTTGTTGAAAAATGTCAAAATAATTTATTTCTGAATACACTAAAACAGGATTTTATATAAGCTTTTGGATACAAGCAAATCTTAGAAACGTTTCAATGATCATCAGTCATGCTGGTTTTTCCAATATATCTGTCATCACGTTGTGAACAGATGATAAACCTTATCGTTTATTAATTTTGTTGAATTTTTTACGTAATGCACTCAGTTACTTTGCATCGACAAATATTCCAAAAAACAAAATATTCACGCATATAGAAGAGGTTATGAATATATTTTTCTGCTGCACAGGCACAATAAATAAACAGTCACTGCCGCTCTCCTTCATCGTATAAAGTTCTCTCTCTATATATGGAAGTATCCGCGCGACTATATATCGCCCAACGAGGATTCCCGCATTGTGGGTTGAAGGTCCCATTGTCGTGAACGCAGGGCTAAACTATTGTCACCTTTTGAGGGTCGCACGAGCGAGCGAGATTCACACCTTTTTTCAACAATCGCGATCTACCGAACATCTCGTGTATACACACAACGGGTCGTTTGCTAGACGTCAAAAAGAGCAAATGGTCGAAAAAAAAAATTCTTAGGAACACACGCACGTGAGTGCACGCACAAAAGGCTTACTGTCAGGGAAAATCCTATTTTCCTGTGTGTACACGGCTATGTCTTTTCTTCTGCCGCAGCTGTGCGAAAAAGTCGAGTAGAAAGTCTATTTGGGTTAACGAGATTAAGACGTTTAAGTTACTTCTTCGGATCTTCATGTTGTGCTAGATTCTCCTCATTACTTTGTGCAACACTCATTTGTAAATGATTGTTAGTCAAATTCTTTTGACTTTTAAAAATATTTTTGTTTTCTTTGACAAGCTCGATCATCTTTCGCATGTTACTCAAAGTTGTTATATAGTATACTGTTGTACATAAAAAATTAAGATGACTTTTAATACATGCATACATTTTATAATAGCTCATTAAAAGTTTTTGGTAAATTAATTCACAAAGGTTTTTTTGTTGTTTTCAAAAAATTTAAATTGAATACAAAAATGAAACGTCAACGAATTTGAAAATAAAATGTCCTTTATTTAAAATATGTAATTGTTGAAAAATCTCATAAACCTTTGAAATATGTAGTCGCGAAACTTGAAAAACGCCACTGTTCTCCGAATCATTAATGCATAAGCTACACTGGAAATAA